TATATATATATTTTTTTTTTATTTAAATTTTTTGCCCTTTTTTATTTCCAAATTAAGGTTCTTTATTGTCATTCGCATCACATGTGGTACATGAGGTGGAACGAAATTGTGTACCCAAGGTCCAAGTTACACCAAGAATAGCAAAACAAAAATAAAAAAGTATAAAAAGAAACAGTAGAGCATGTAAGATATACACTAAACACTAATGCAAAAATAATACAGTATATTAAACAGCAGCCTGAACATATATGAACCTGAACATGTGTGTGTGTGTGTATATATATATATATTGATATTGATATTGTTGATTATATATATATATATTATATATATATATATATATATATATATATATACATACATATATACACATATATATATATCTATATATATATAGATATATATATACACACGCACGCACGCACACACGCACGCACACACACACACACACACACACACACCAGTATATAGCGGCTAGAGAAGGTGGGCCTGTCATCGGAAGATCGCCGGTTCAAGCCCCGGTACCAACATCAAAAATGTGGGTGGGGTAGGTGAAGCACCCACACCTGTCCCCACCCTCATTCGCCCCACGCTGGGCCCATGAGCAAGGCCATATGCTCCCCAAACAGGTCTCTCTCTTGAAAATGAGTTCTCGAGTCTCAATGAGACTACTTGTATAAATAAAGGGTAAATGAAAATAGAAACAAACAAAAAAAAAAATATATATATATATGTATACACACTTACATACACGGCTGGCATACACATCCCAGTAACCAAATAATTACCTGGTTGTCTCCTGGACAGACATGATAAATGTGATGCTCATCTGCTCACAGACTCATGTTCGTGCTGCTGTTCTGTTCAGCGTATTGTTTTTATGCTGCTAGTGCTTAGTGTATATTTAGTTGATGTTTTTCTTAGTTCATATCTTAGATCTTATTACTGTTTTTCTTTTACATTTTTTTTTGTTGGATGTAACTGGGACCCAGTGCACATAATCTCGTTCCCCCACATATACCACATGAGGTGGAACGACAATAAGAACCTCTGACAAGTACCGATACTGACCTGATACATACCTTGTATGCACCTGGTAACATGGCTTGATCAAAAGTATTTTATAGAGGTTTAGTGTTTGAACGGTGAGAAAAAGTTAACCTTTTCAGACTGTGTGGACAAATTATATTTGGGGGAGGGGAGCTAAAATAAACTTTATCATAATTTATTACTTTACAATATCTAAAGAATCTGAAAAAGAAAAATAACTAGGCAAACATAACAAAAAATATGGAGCTTGTTCTTTAGCCTGCAGGCAGAACAAACAAGAAAACATTTAATTTACTGGTTACAACAGCTCCCATAGGCTCTGAAATATACAGGTTAAAAGCAGAGTTGAGGAGTGATTAAGAGACTAAATCAAATGTTCGTTTTGAGAATGAGAACAGACAAGCCACCAGTTCACATTAAGACACAAGTCCATGCAAAACAATTTAATGCTTTCAATATTTATCAAACACGATTTGTTGGAAAGTAACCAAGACGACAACATATTATGTTCAAACATTCAGTAAACTGTCCATTGGAAAAAGACACTTGTGAGTCAATTGTTCACAGCTTGATCTGTAAGAAATGTCAGACTTGAGTGTAGAAAATCTCGATGGTTAAGCACCTTCAGGTTTGTATCCAGGTAAATAAGGTAAAGCTGTAAAGTGTGACGTAATACTGTCAAAAAGCCAGGTTCACTTTGCAACATACAGTAAAGCCATCAGGCACTTGTGCTTTCTGTGTGCTGATGAAACTTCTGTTGCTGCCATTTACAGTTACTCCACTAGAGGGCGCCCTCACAAATACAGAAATCACCTGATATTTTTTACACAGATCTGATAACTAGGAGTCATAGCACCACAAAATAGCACAAATACAACAGACGAGAGCATGAAAACAGTTAGAAAGTATGTATACAGTTACAGTAGAGTGGCACATGAGCTACGTCACAGTCGTTAAGTCAACAATATGTCCACGGTTGATTATTAGTCACAGCTGAAACTCTTAGGGCAGTAGGCAAACATCGTGCAGTTTTCAGTTTCTGTCCAGCTCAGTTTCATCCAAATTCTCTCTCAGTCTCTTTAGTTTCCAGTGTTGTAGCAGGAACTTCAGCAGGTTAGCACCCAGAGTTGGGCTCAGACAGGAAAACACTGGGCTCAGCTTGCCTTCGGTGTCACACTTTAAGCCGTTGGGTCGTATTGATTTTCGTTGTTGCCCCATAATTGTTTAGAAGCAGCTGGTTGTGCAAGAGGACAGAGCAGAAGTGGATCCTTACTTAGCCAAGGCAAACATCTGAGTCTGTTTATCCACATCAAGTTCAGCAACCACACAACGAAACTAAAAGAAGGAACCCAGGACACTTTCCTTTCCTGTAAGACAAAGTGGTGGTTTTGACACTCGTTTTCCAACGGAGAAGGCACAGGATGAGAATGTACTGAAGCGGTCTTGTGAAGAAGATGAACACCAGAGATTGAGGATGCTCCAACTGAAGGTTCGTCCCAAAGTCACTCCTGGCTGACTCGCCTTTTCTCCAGCGTCATTTTGAGCTCCTCGTTGAGCGCTGTGGAGAAACAGAACAACAGAGCTGAAATCGCAGCGGCAGAAACAGCGGGCGCCACCATTGCACTTACTTTGCGAGAGAGGTGAAGGAGACAGGACGAGACGTTTCATGGGGTTGGTGGGCGACGCCGGCACAGGCGAGGAGGTCCGGCTGCGACGGTCCGAGACTGGGGACCTGGACAGGGGGCTACTGCACCAACGATCTGCATGAGAATGAAAGCTGTGATTACTCCTGCTGTCTGCTGCAGCCTGCGCGCTGCTTTACTCACGGAGATGAACCTTGTTTTGGAGGCAGAGCAGGAGCCTTAGGGAGGGGGCTGGTGGGCGCAGTGTGAAGAATCCTCTCTCCATTTTCATCATTAGCAGAAACATACGCTGATAAAATCAAATTTTGATCAGTTCATTCTAATAAGCCAAGTAAAAAAGACACAAAGTTGTATTTCTTGTTGCTCCTCACTGATATTTTCCTCGTACGGCTCCTCCAGCAGGAAAGGCTGCAGAGTCCCTGCTGTCCTCTCTACCAAGGCATCGATGACCTCATGTAGCGTGGCACAGGGAATCTGGAGGAGGAAATGACCTTTCACGGTTCACTCTGTTTTCTTTCTTTTTTTTGAAAGTATAAACAAAATGTATAAATTTGGAAAGCTCTGGTTAAAATATGTGAAGCCAGAGCTACATTTGAATGATGCATCTTCAGAAATGGCAGCAGCTTTTAAAATTTGGGACATCAAATATTTGATTTTCAAGTCAGCTGACCCTTAGCTATGACGTTACTGATTTAAATATTTCTAAATACTTCATTTTACAACCCAAAGCCATATGGCAGGTTAAAGCTCTATCGTGCAAAGAAGAGCCATATGTAAAAACCACCCAGAAACGCTGTGGTCTCCTCTGGTCCAAAGCTCATTTAAAATAGACTAAGGCAGAGTAGAAAACTATTTTGTGTTCAGATAAATTGAAAATTGAACTTCTTTTTGAAAACCACATTCGTCATACTAAAGAGAAGAGAGACCATCCAGCCTTTTATCAGTGCTCAGTTCAAAAGCCTGCCTCTCTGATGGTATGGGGGTGCATTAGTGTCTATGGTATGGGCAGCTTACACCAATAGAAAGGCACCGTCAATGCAGAACAGAACATACAGCTTTTAGAAAATGCTTCTGTCCAGACATCTCTTTCAGAGAAAGCCTTGCATATTTCAGCAAGACCATGCCAAACAGCATACTCCATCCTTTACAACAGCGTGGCTTCGTAGTAGAAGAATCTGGGTGCTGAACTGGCCTCCAAATGGTTTTTTTTTTTGTTTGGACTGAATGAATTCTCATGTCCATGTCCACTGAACTGCAGTCCATACCTCTCATCAGCTGAACACATAGGATACCTCGTGAAGCAAAAACAAAAAAAATCTGTCAAAGAAGACCCAGAACTGTTGAACTAGAATCCTACGTCAGACAAGAATGGGACAAGATTCCCCACCAAAAAGTCCAGCAGCTGCTCTTCTCAGTTCCTACATGTTTACAGACTGTTGTCCACAGACTAAAAACATGCATGTTAGGCTGATTGGTAAATTGTCCCTAGGTGTGAGAGTCCAGGGTGTCCCCCGCCTCTCGCACAGGGACTGCTGGATATGGGCACCAGCGACCCAGAAAGGAAGAAGCAGGTAAAGATAATGAATGGATGGATGCTTCATCATGCTAAACACGAGACCATGCCCAGCTATTTGGAATGTACCATTTTGACATTTAATTCAAATTTCCTGTTTTTTTTTTTTTTTTGTTAATATTACAATTTCTTAGTTGCATATACTTTGTATTTACTACGTTCCACTGTGAATAAAATGTAAGTTTATGAGATTTGCTCTTTTGGAAACAGTGTTGTATGTAAACACAAATTCTATTTTACCAACCAGCAACTCCTAAAGTCAGTGTCATATTAATTCACCATATATTAGAATTTGTAAATGAGTTTTTACAGTTTTATGATCAAAAACACTATCGGTTCCAACCTGGGCCTTATTTTATCTTGCTTTTAAAAAATATATATACAATATTGACAGGCTTGAAAACCTTTGAAAGCAATAATGTATTTTTAAAGGTAGTCCCAGAACTCCAAGAACAGCTTTGTCTCGGAAAAAGAAAAAGGTGCAAGACTTCCTCTGATTGTAGGCTGGTTGTTGACATCCTGATAAAAACACTTGCTGCAGGGTGAAATGACCAGACGTGAGTGTGGCACGACAAACCGGCAGCAGTCTCAGAATCTCAGTCCTCTAAAAGTGGTAAAGCAGAACTCAACCTTTTGTTGCTTCATTTTGAAAAAGCACCAATGCTCGACACACTGCATTCCAACTGTGTGACGCTTCTCTGCTCCTTCCAGAGCAAATGACTTTTAGGGTCACTGATGTGTAGCCTGTTGTCTTCATGAAATGACTCATCTCTTAAGTGACTCCGGAGTGAGACTTCTCCAGCGAGATTTCAAACCGATGGTCTCTGTAGCGCTGCTCAAACCTTTGAGTTTGTCAGTTGCAACTACAAACGTTGGTTACGTACTGTAACCCCAGATTCTATGAATATAGGCGTAGCCCTTTAAGGCTGTCGCTGATGGGTTTATCCCGTTATGCGCAAGCATCGTACTGAAAAAAAATTAGTCCACGCCCACCTGCTGTGTGGGCCCCACCCGATCCGTATAAATTACGTTAAGAGCGGGTAATCTGCTCCCAAATAGCTTATTCTTTTCTTCAGCTATTCAGGAGCCAGTGAGGCCCGACGCTTAAAGGGCTACGCCTATATTCATAGAATCTGGGGTTACAGTACGTAACCAACGTTCTATGTCATATAGGCTTCGCCCTTTAAGGCTGTCGCTGATGGGTTAAGGGCGAAGCGGATGTGGTCCTCGCCTCACTGGGTCCATTCGAACCCAGTAAGAAGCGGAAGCTTGCCCAAAAAACGTCTTGCCACTCAGTTCCCCATGTGCATAATTACGCATCGCGTAATTGTGTGCCATGCACAGACGCATGTTGTGCAACTATGCGTTCTGACAGCATGAATGCCCCGGAAAAACTTCAACGGGGAAGATATTGAAAAGAGGAGGGGGGGGGGGGGCATGAAGCAACTGATTCATGATTGAACAGTATAAACAGATTAATATCAATGAACTGATTATTGAACAAATGAACTGATTGGTAACAATAGTCATGAACTGATTAGTGACAATAGAACCGAATCACAGATACAACTTGTGGCTGATAACAACATCTCACACTGTAATGCATGCAGACAGATGTGAGCTTAAAAAGAGTTCCATGAGAACAACAATATTCATTCTGTTAGAGCACTAAGGACAGAATGTGTCATGGAACGAGCCGTTACATCACGTAGGTAAAAGCGAATAAATGAGCAGGGTGATGACCATGCAGCCGCAGTGCAAATGTCCTGCATTGACATACCATTATGCAGAGCAGTCGAAGATGCGATACCCCTGGTTGAGTGTGCTTTGAGGTTGACAGGAGGCTCTAGATCTGATGCTCTGTAGGCTTCAGAAATGGCCTCACACAGCCAGTGTGACAAACGCTGGGTGGATAACGGGCGGCCTGCGGATGCATCTCTATAATGCACAAACAAATGTTGAGTTTGACGCATTGCAGCTGTGCGCGCTATGTAACACGATAACGCCCGCACCGGACAGAGAAGATGAAAAGATGCTTCTTCTTCTGATCTGTGGGGGGGAGGGAAGAATCCCTCCAACGATATCTGTCTCGATTTAAAAGAGCTCGTGATGCTTTTAGGCATAAAGGCTGGGTTTGGTCTTAAATCAGCTGAACTACCGTCAGCCTGGATTCTGAGACATGACGGAGCGGCAGAGAGGGCAGATAAATCACTCACCCTCTTGGCGGATGTTAAAGCCAGCAGCAGGGCTGTTTTAAGAGACAGGAATTTAAGCGAAACTTGATCCAGAGGCTCAAAAGGAGCTTTGATCAGGGCTCGCAGGACCAGCGTTAAATCCCACTGTGGAACGAGTGGGCGTGAAACCGGTCTATGTCTTTGTACACCTTTTAAAAACCGCTTCATCAGCGGGTGGTTAAAAGCTGTTCTGTCCCCGAACCCTTCGTGGCAGGAAGAGATGGCTGCAGCGTACGTTTTAATCGTGCTGAACGCCAACTTCCTATCCATCAGCTGTTGAAGAAAGGACAGCACGCCACCTAATGGACATGAGGTGGCCTCCAGACCTTTCTCTGTACACCAGCGCTGAAAAGCCGTCCACTTTGATGTGTACAGGGCTGTGGTAGATGCAGCACGTGAATCTTGAATTGTGCGCACTACCTCCTGAGGGAGACCCATCCTCTCTAAGCGGGACCGCTCAGCGGCCAGACCCACAGGTGCTGGCCTATTTCCGGGTAACTCCTGATCGCTCCTCCTGCTTGAAGGAGAGCATCTTCCCTCCATGGCAGTTTCCACGGGCGACCTGACAACAGACGCTGCAGGACCGGGAACCATGGTGCGTTCACGCGCTCGGGAGCTACCAGGAGAGCTGTCAGTCCCTCCTCCTGAACTCGGTTCAGGAACCGTAAAATCAGAGGAGGAGGAGGGAACGCGTACAGAAGCGTTTTGGGCCACGGGCTGTGGGCAAATGCATCCACCCCCAGCGGTGGATCGTCTCGAGGGCTCAGGGAAAACCATAACTGGCACTGAGCGTTCTCTCGCGTCGCAAACAGGTCCACAGCTGCTTTGCCAAACTTCTGCCACGTCTGAAACATCAGGTCTGGATGGAGGGTCCAGTCCGCGTGACGTGGACCGCCCCTGGACATCACGTCTGCTCCTCTGTTCAGAACGCCGGGTATGTAAACCGCTCTGATGGAAAGCAGATTTTGGTGAGCCCAACACAGTAGCTTCCGTGCAATGTGTAACATCTGGGCTGAACGCACACCCCCCTGGCGGTTTATGTACGCAGCAGTCACCATGTTGTCTGTGTGAATCAACACGTGTTGATTCTGTAGCACGGGAGCAAAATGCTGAATCACATTCAGCACTGTGCGACACTCCAAAACATTGATGTGGGCTGATGTGCGGTGGGGCCACAGCGCCCCTACTGCTTGAGATAGGCATGTCCCCCCCCAACCTGACAGAGACGCGTCCGTGAAGACTGACACGTGTGTCGAGGGTTTGCTGACGGGGACTCCCTCTGACAGAGCCAGGGTGTTTCCCCAGTGTCGGAGGTCTGCTCTCACGGAGGGAGGGACAGTGATCATCCGTCTCTTTTGTTTTACTGGATCCACACGCAGGCGCGTAAACCACCTCTGGAGGCGCCTCATGTGTAACAAACCCAGCGGGACCACTGTGTGAGCTGATGACATCATTCCCAACAGCTTCATGACGGAGACAGCTGTTACCACTTTGCCAGGTCTTACGTGGCGTAATTGGTTTTTTAGAGTGTCGATTCTTGTTTGTGATAAGCGAGCCGTCATGGTAATTGAATTTAATTCCACTCCCAGATAAACAATTGTCTGGGCCGGGAAAATCGAGCTTTTCTTCCAATTTATGGCGAAGCCCAGATTTAGCAGGTGTGATGCCAACACCTGAGCCTGTATCAATGCTTCCTGTCTGGAGTGAGACAGGAGCAGCAGGTCGTCCAGGTAAAACAAAACTCTCATCCCTGCTCTGTGCAGTGGATGCAGGGCTGTCTCCACACACTTTGAGAACGTGCGAGGTGCGAGGGAGTACCCGAAAGGCAGCCTGTTGTACTGGTACTTCATCCCTTGAAAGGCGAAACGCAGAAATTTTCTGTGTTTTGGGATGATTGGTATGTGAAAATAAGCATCTTTCAGATCGATGGAAACAAACCAGTCGTTTTTCTGGATGTTGTCCAACAGCTGTCTGTTCGTCAACATGTGAAAAGGTCTGTTCATGATCGCTTTGTTGAAAGCTGACAGATCCAGAATCGGTCTCATCCCTCCGGTCTTTTTGGGGACCAGGAAGTAGCGTGAGTAAAACCCTGTGTTTTCCTCCTCGTTGGGAACTCTTGAGATTACACCTTTTATCAGAAGCTCCTGGACTTCTGCATTTAAGGCTGAGACTTGGTCTGGTGAGGACAGGACCGTCTCTATAACTCCTCCGAACGGAGGGGGTCGGGTTGCAAACTGCAGCGTGTAACCCTTGCATAACACTCTGTCCATCCATCTGTCCGGTGAGCATGTTTTTAACCACTCTGCGTGACGTTCGTGGAGTGGACGTGCGTTTAAATGATGTGCCGTGTTTTGAACGGATGTCATCCAAACCTCCGCCTCGACCGCCGTCATGCGTCGCGGAAATGTTTTCCGCGTGACCCAAGGCGAGGCTTTCTCGAAAGGGCTGTTCTGCGCGCGCCCGTGCGCTGTGACTGGATCGCGGACCAACCTTCATGTCCGGGCGGGGCGGTGTGCGCTGAGGCGAGGCGTGTGTCAGCTGGTGACGTCCAGAGGCTGCACGTTTAACGTCGCTGTGCGAACGTTGAGAGGTGGAGGGCGTGACGTCATCAACGCCGTGCTGTCGAAGTGAAGGTTGTGAACTTCGCGGGAGCGCACGTTTTCTCTGGAGGGACGCGCGCCGCTCTCGCTGAGGGCGGGGCCCGTCGTTGGATTCATTCAGCTGTCTCACGCTTATGCCGCCGTGAGCTGCTGGTCGCAGAGGCGCGATGGATGACGGCTGTTCGCGTTTATTCAGGAAAAACGTGTGTTGTTTTTGCTGAGAGCGGGGACCTCCACCGGACCCGGCCTGCGGTCCCACATTTATCCCGATGTGAGCCGGTGAGCGCCGGGCAGCTGTGCGTGCATCATCGGCACAGTGCCGTTTGGATGGACGGTGCTTGTCTCGCTCGGGTGCGCGTTTAACACCGTTTGAGTGGTGATCGTGCGGTTCTGTTTGACAACAAGATATTTCGCTTACCGTGGTGTCACGTGAGCGTCTGGGCATGTGAAGGAGCGGCGGTGGGTTTAAAAAACCTTTATTTAAGGACACCGGCTCTCTCTGTGTGGAGGATGTGTGTGTAGCGGCTGTGAGCTCATCCGAACTTACAGACTGGCTAAAAACAGGCATTCTGATTTTTGAAAAATCATTTATTTCACTTCCTGTTTCGTTCATACACACATCCCCCGCAGACCGTCATTTCTTAAACCTTCTCCCTCGTGAGCTCTGCGGTTTGTTTGACCCGAGCGCCGTCTGCAGGCGATCTCTGGGGAAGCGCTGAAGTGCAGGCTGCCGGGCTGAGGAGGGGTGGTCTCTGGCGGGCGGGGCTGGTGGTGGAGCTGGGCGAGACGAAGCTGCTGCTGCCGTGGAGCGTCGGTGCTTCTGCCTCTGCTCTCGACGATCCTTCCAGCGAGCTGGGGGACGGGATGAGCCGCGCGGCTTGATGAGATGACGTACCGCTTCCGACATCTCCTCCGACTGCTTGGAATTCGCCAGCATGGTCTTCAAGCTGCTTCCGAACAGCGCGTCCGATGAGATGGGGCCCTCCATGAGGTCCTTGTGCAGCTTTTCCGGCAGCAATGGGGAGTGACGGAGCCAGATGGAGCGTTGGATTACCGTCATCCATGAAGCAATCCTCGACAGGCAAACCGTGGAAGCGGCGCACATGTTGAGGACGGCGTCTGCCGATTTACACAGGGAGCTCTTCGTCTCCTCCGGCAGGTCTGAGGCCTCCAGCCTCTTTGACATGCTAAATGCTAACAGCGCCACGTTGTTGTTAGCCGCGGCCGCCTGAAAAGCACACTGGTGGGCTCTGTTGGAGAGCGCGGTCGCCACCTGGTCGTGTTTCCCCGGAGGGACGGGACGCTTCTCCAGCCTGGACATCTTCGCTCCGAAGGCTTCCGCGAGGCTTGGCTCAAGGGGGGGTACCGAGGGAAAGCCCCGCTCGGTGAACCCCTCCACTCTGGTGATGGGGGCGTAAGTGGAGACGGGCGCCCTTAACCTACCAGGACCGGCTGCGGCCTCGTTCCAGTACGCTGTCACCGCAGGAAAACGAGGCCAAATGGGATCAGGACGGCGAGCCGGCGTGGAGCCAAACCTTCCCGCAAGATCATCCGATCTGAGCGGGGGGGGTGAGGGGACGGAGAGCCCCTTAACGCTAGCAGCTTCCCGGATAATGGCGGGCAGCTCCGAGAGGAGCGCGCCCACGGCAGGGAGCGATGTGGTCGCTGAGGCGGGAAACCCCGGGGGAGTCGAGCATCCGCTCGGCCTCCCTCTTTCCAACACTGCGCTCCCCGGGAGGGAACGAGCGTCGGGGCTGCTGCTAGCGTCACCGGTCCCAGAGGAATCATCCGATTCACTCCGAGAGCCGGCGTCGAAGAAATCCATGGCGTCGTCCAGCGAACAGTCTCCCGCCACGGACAGGCAGTCCTCGATGGTAGCCTTAAACAAGGCTGCTCTCCTCTGCCTTTCCTCCGGTGGAAGCTCGTCACAGAGGCGGCAGGAGGAAGCGCGAGCGACGTGGCGGGGACCCAGGCATCCCTCGCAGGTGTCGTGCCGGTCGAAGCTAAGCAAGTAGCCGGTCTTGCACGAGGGACACAAACGGATGGTGCTGGAGCTGGACATCTCGACGAAAAAGGTCAGTTTATTCTTGTTTATTATGCTTGCTGAAGAAAAACTGGGAGCAGATTACCCGCTCTTAACGTAATTTATACGGATCGGGTGGGGCCCACACAGCAGGTGGGCGTGGACTAATTTTTTTTCAGTACGATGCTTGCGCATAACGGGATAAACCCATCAGCGACAGCCTTAAAGGGCGAAGCCTATATGACATAGAACATTGTGACTTTGCTACAAGGATGATTTTTTTTTTTTTGCCTATCTGGAATTAACATCCAGTAGGTCCCAGGTTAAAAAAGTTTGCATAGTTTATATAAGGTGTGCATGGAAGCCCATTTCCGTCATGAAAGAAAAAATAAAAGCCCAACAGGAAGTCATAATTTCAAGTTTTAAAGTCGTAATTACGAGTTTTAAAGTCATAATTATGAGAATAAAGTCATAATTTCGAATTTTAAAGTCATAATTTAAACTTTTCTAATTTAATATTTAAGTTTGTCCCTTGCTGGACACAGTGACTCTAGTCTACAGGGATGCAACTTCCTGTCAGACACCGGTAGTTTCAGTGTTGCCAGGTGTACGAAAATTATCGTATTTGTACGGCAACTTTGCCCTCTGTACGATCAATAATCCCAAAAAAGGCCAAATATACGATAATTTGATCATTCCATGAATGTGTGGTTGTAATCAGTTGTCATCAGCCTCTCCCAACTGTCTGTCAGAATTTTTTTGTGAACCCTGAAGGCATCTGTGTCTGCAAACAGATGCACGATTGGCTGGAAATTCCATCCAATCGTGCTTTTCTAAATGTGACCTACGAGTGACGTGTATGCGTTTGCCTCAGAACAACGGCCATGATTGGCTGAATAGTCCGCTGCGCCCACCCCACGAGTGAGGAAAAAAGAAAAGAAGAAGAAGCAGAGCTGGTCTGGAAGTGGACCTATCACTACTATAGTGCATCAATAGATTTGTTATTTTGGTTATGACGGGTGTACGCTAATTTCCCTCAAAATACGATCATTTTATGTCTCTAGTACGATAATCCTACATTTCTCAGCTGGCAACACTGGGTAGTTTTCCTGCATAGCACATGGATTCATTCATTCAATGTATGTCCCTCTGCCTTCATACATCAATCCTTTTAAATAAAAGTATGTAATGTATACATCTTTTCATCGCCACTTTATATAACATTTAGTATCGAAGCCCATTTCTGCTATGAAATAAAAGCCCAACAGGAAGTCATAATTGAGTTTTAAAATCCTAATTACGAGAATAAAATTCATAATTATGACTTTCAAACTCATAATTATGACTTTTATTCTCGTAATTTTGACTTTAAAACTCATAATTATGACTTTTATTCTCGTAACTATGACTTTAAAACTCATAATTATGACTTTTATTCTCGTAACTGTGACTTTAAAACTCATAATTATGACTTTTATTCTTGCAATTATGACTTTAAAACTCATAATTATGACTTTTATTCTTGCAATTATGACTTTAAAACTCATAATTATTACTTTTATTCTCATAAGTATGACTTTAAAACTCATGACTTTTATTCTCATAATTATGACTTTAAAAGTCGAAATTATGACTTCCTGTTGGGCTTTTATTTTTTCTTTCATGGCGGAAATGGGCTTCCAAAGGTGCGTCAAACCAGGCGGAGTAACAAACGAGGCATTTGAAGCAGTTTAGGCGAGCATTTCCATGGGGACAAGAGAATTCATTAAAATGTGTAGGTTGAATCTGTTCACTTACAGGATTTTCCACATCAATGACATAACCACCCTGGTCCCTCTGAGTGACTCGGTAATGTCTGAACACGGACCTGGAGTCAAAAGAAGAAGAAAAAAGCTGCTGTTCACGGTGGCGTGTTGTTGAGGACGTTCGCCTCTTAGACATCCAAAAGTTCAGCAGGTGTTTACCCGTTGAGGTCCTGTCGCGTTGTGACGGCCAGCGAGCATCCGTCTCTGCCTGGACGCAGGAGCATGTTACCACAGTCTGGGTGTCTCTCCAGGAGGACTTCAGCCTCGGTGCGGGACACCGGACGAAAACACCTGCGAGTTGAAAACAATCCATTCACAAAAAAAAAAAAAGCGTTCATGCAGAAGACACGATAAAAAGTGACACTGTGTCTCGTCAGGACTCACGCTGGGATCTCTCCCACTAAAGGAACAGAGAGGGGCGACGGAGGAGCTCGGCCCGGATTGCGAGCTCTCCGTCTGGACCTCTCTTTGTCCACCACCTCCTTCAACATCTGCAGCTGTCCGGGCAGCAGGGTGAGACAGGACGGCACGTTCAGCTGCGAACAGAGGACACTTGCTTTACAGCTCAACAACAACAAAAATGCAGCCAGATGTGTGAAAGGTTGATGCTTACGTCTATAACGGAGTAGAGGAAACCTTTCCAGAGCTCTCTGGACTCCAAGTTGGGCGCCTGGAAATAATACACACGTTAAATCCCAAAAAATTCTCATTCAGATATTTGAACCGAGAGGCGTACCGTGAGTTTGGTTTCTCCGTCCTTCATGCGGAGGATGAGCCGCGCAGCCTCCAGGTTCTTGTCGCGGCTGCTGTCGTCCTTAAGGGACACAAACCCACCGAGGTCCAGCTTCTCCACATACTGGTGCACAACACACACGTTCCAGCGTCAGCACAAACGCACGGCACACGCAAGAAGGCTCGCGGCGTGAAACTTACATGAACGTCCTTGGCGTTGTTGAAGAAATATAAGGAGTTGCCACACAGACAGGTCCACAGCCGCCTGGAAACCTGTCACACAGAGAAGAACAAAGATGCTGCTTTGTCCACATGATGGATATCACCCCCACACAGCTCCTGTCCCAGGAGGATGGTGGTAAGTGAGCCTCAGCTGGTAGCTGAAGCTCTGAGATCCCTGCACCTGAGCCGGTCTCACATTACAAGTCTGTGCATGAAGAGAGCCTGATACGAGTGATGGGTGGGTCTGAACTGGAGGGGGTCTCTTCTAGAACCTCAACAATCTAATGGAACCAAAAGACAAATGTTCATTTCTCTTACTCACACTTGTATTTAGAGATTTAAAAGATGAAGCTGTCTGAAGAGGATCACCTCTGAATGTGTCATGCAGGCGTTCTGACAGGGACATGAACGCGTCTACCTATCGTGCACGCGGCGTGCACGCCTGACAGACATGCACGATCAGTGGGCAAAAGGCTGCACGCGCTGCCTTTCATAACAAAACCTCCAGCAGCCAGAGGTTTCCGCCTCGCCCATTCCAGCGCAACAAGGAAGTTGACAGTTGTTTGGGAATGGAGGCTCCGCCGGGTGTCCGCGCGCTAGACCAGCAGCACGCACGCGCGCGCGCCGCGGTGAAAACCCACCTTTTCTTTCGGTCCTCGCTTCTCCAGGTAGCCTTCGTAGTAGCAGGGCGGGAGCTTCGCCCGCGGGCTCACCGAGCCGCAGCGCTGCCTGGCGGGGACGGCCGCCATGAGTGTCGCAGCCCGGGCACCGAGCAGGACAAAGGGGCGCAGAGATCCGGGGACTGACACGCCTTCTCCCGATGAGATAAGCGCCGTGGCGGTCATCCAACAGCTGCTGGATGCAGCCGGGGGTGGGGGGGTCCTGCAGAGGGAGGGGGCTGGCCACATGACAACATGGTTAGGTAGATGCTGGGATACCCCCATAGGAGATAATCCCCATTCCATTTCTAAATTCATGCAGATTTGAACTGGAGAGATTACACTTTCTGTTTCATACAGTGTGAATACTGGAGTTTGCACAAACTGATTTGGTTAAAGCCATAAGAAGCAGAACACTAGCTAAAAGCTAACAAGAGCAAAGCAGCTAAAATCTACAGCAAAATGTAAGCTAAAGATAAACGTAGGACTAGCTACAGTAGCTAAAAACAGCTTAAAGCAAATAAGTCATAAAATTAGAACATCATGGAAAAGTTGATTTATTTCAGTGATTCCATTCAAAAAGTGAAACTTGTATATTATATTCATTCATTACACAAAGACAGATATATTTCAAATGTTTGTTTCTTTTAATGTTGACTATTATAATTGACAACTAATGAAAACCCCCAAATTCATCATCTCAGAAAATTAGAACATTACTTTAGACCAATTGTAAAAAAAATGATTTTTAGAAATGTTGGCCACCTGAAAAGTATGAACATGAAAAGTATGAACATGAAAAGTATGAGCATGAAAAGTATGAGCATGTACAGCACTCAGTACTTAGTTGGGGCTCCTTTTGCCTGGATTACTGCAGCAATGCAGCGTGGCATGGAGTCGATCAGTCTGTGGCACTGCTCAGGTGTTATGAGAGCCCATTGCTCTGATAGTGGCCTTCAGCTCTTCTGAATTGTTGGGTCCGGTGTATCACATCTTCCTCTTCATAATACACCATAGATTTTCTATGGGGTTAAGGTCAGGTGAGTTTGTTGGCCAATTAAGAACAGGGATACCATGGTCTTAAACCAGGTACTGGTAGCTTTGGCACTGTGTGCAGGTGCCAAGTCCTGTTGGAAAATGAAATCTGCATCTCCATAAAGTTGGTCAGCAGCAAGAAGCATGAAGTGCTCTAAAACTTCCTGGTAGACAGCTGCACTGACCTTAACCTCAGAAAACACAGTGGACCAACACCAGCAGATGACATGGCACCCCAAATCCTCACTGACTGTGGAAACTTGACACTGGACCTCGAGCAACATGGATTCTGTGTCTCTCCTCTCTTCCTCCAGACTCTGGGACCTTGATTTCCAAAGGAAATGCAAAATTTACTTTCATCAGAGAACATAACTTTGGACCACTCCGCAGCAGTCCCAGGCGAGGTGCTTCTGACACGTCTCTTGTTCAAAGGTGGCTTGACACAAGGAATGCGACAGCTGAAACCCATGTCTTGCATACGTCTGTGCTTGGTGGTCCTTGAAGCACTGACTCCAGCTGCAGTCCACTCTTTGTGAATCTTCCCCAACATGTTGGAATGGGTTTGGTTGCACAATACTCTCCAGGATGTGGTTATCTCTGTTGCTTGTACACTTTTTTCTACCATATAATTTCCTTCCCTTCCACTCTCTATTAATGTGCTTGGACACAGAGCTCTGTGAACAGCCAGCCTCTTTAGCAATGATCTTTTGTGTCTTGCCCTCCTTGTACAAGGTGTCAGTGGTCGTCTTTTGGACAACTGTCAAGTCAGCAGTCTTCCCCATGATTGTGTAGCCCACAGAACTAGACTGAGAGACCATTTAAAGGCCTTTGCAAGCGTTTTGAGTTAATTAGCTGATTAGACTGTGGCACCAGGTGTCTTCAATATTGAACCTTTTCACAATATTCTAATATTCTGAGATGCTGAATTTGGGGTTTTCATTAGTTGTATCATCAACATTAAAATAAACATTTGAACTATATCGGTCTGTGTGTAATGAATGAAAACACACGTTTCACTTTTTGAATGGAATTACTGAAATAAATAAAGTTTTTTTTATGATCATATTTTATGACCAGCACATGTATAGGTGCAATTAAGCTACAGCAAATGTAGCAAGGGAGAGTGGTGGAGCAGTGGTTAGAGAAGGTGGGCCTGACTCAACCCTCATTTGCCCCATTTTAGGCCCTTGAGCAAGGCCCTTAACCCCCACTATCTGCTTCCCCGGGCATCCTAGATGGCAGGCCTCTGATCCACACGGACAGCTGTGGTAGCTCGATGTTCAGGAAGGGCATCTGGCATAAAAAACAATTACGAAGCCTTAGTGCAAGTTGGTTCACTGTGGCGACCCCTGAAGAAGAGAGCAGCCAAAAGATGAAGAAAACAAAAAAGCTAAATGTAGCTACAAATACAAGTTTTTGGCCAAAAGCAGTAAAAGACTAAAACAAAAAGGATAAAACTTTAGTAAAATGTAATACAATGTTAAAGGAACAAAATGATGAAGTTGAAAATTACAAAGGCTAGCCAAAAATGGCAAAATACTAGCTAAATGCCAAAATAATAAGTTTAGATAGAAACTAAAACAGCAAAACTCTAAAGCAGTAAAAGATTAGCTAAAAGCATGAGTTTAGCAAAGTCGCAAAAGGCTAGCTAAAACTAGAAGTCTCAAAAGGATAGCGTAAAGCATATATTGTCTTGCAAGCTAGATCAAGCTAAAAAAAAAAAAAGCAACACACTACCAGTAGTTGGATGCTTCAAGTAGTAAGTCTGGTTAAAAGCTTAAAAGTTTACTAGCTAAAACCAGTAAAAGTTTAGATAAAAGTAGCAAGTTTGGTGATAGCAGAAAGATAGCTACAACAGCCAAAGATAGTAGAATGGTAGCAAAGAAGTAAAAGCAGGACAAAACAAAAATAGAGCAAGTATGTTGAAGCTGCTTTTAACAAGGTTTCTTAAGGAATTGAAAGAATCTCAATGTATTGCTGTTATTTGTAAACAAAGCTAAATATTTTAAAAAGTATGTTACTTTAAAAAAGTCAGAGCACACGTCTCTAGATAACTGCAAAAACCGCATAGAAAAACATCAGGAAAACAGTGAATTCAGAGGGAAAAAAGAAAACTCACTATGGGATAAATTATTGAACATTTATTAGAGAAAATGATCAGCATCTATTGATATACAAGAAAACAATACACAAGATTATACTGCGCCTAGTATAGAGGTAATCCTTAGTTTGGAGATAATCCATGGTAATCCCACATTTAGTCTTCCCATAGCATCACAGTAACAAAAATGAGCAGAAGTCAAAAACATACAAAAAATAAAAAGTTCCATTTTCACGAAACGTTTCTAGTAAAACTGCATAATAAAACATCTTCAAGCCTGTTAATACTTAAATATTGTAAAGCTGAGACAGGATTTAAGAGTTTAATAAAAATGTTGCTGCTCCTCCAGCTGTGACAGCAGCAACTCAAACATTGATCTTAGCCCTTTGTTCCGCTACATCATTCGTCATCATTATTATCCAAGCTGCACGATGGCTGAGCTGCAGACCTTCTGCCTCTCTTTAACCGAGGGGTTTTGACTTAGTGTAATGAGGCATGTGAACCCACACCTGAACCAGTTATTACTCAGCACAGCAAGGGCCTGAAACACATCACCATGAGGTCCATATCTGGATAGGCAATGCAGATTTTATTCCAACGGATAGACTGAGCTTCAGAGGCTGCATGGGTTTGAGATGGGACAGATAATGAGGAAGGGGGTGTAGGGGTACAGGGGGCAGGTGGTAAATATAGACTGGTGGGGGAGGGCATAATCCACTGTTCTGTGCCCTACTCTGTTGAAAAGACTTGTCTGTTCCACTTGCAGTTTCAATAGAGACAGCAGAGATGAGCGGGGCAGCGGTGTAACAAGGAGATCATGACAAGAGGACACATTGGCATGTTAGTGTACAGCACAAACCCTGACAGCTCATAGTTAGCCTGTAAGAAGCGTAACTGGAACTGAAACCAGCGATTGTGGAAAATCCTTCCTTGCTATTTTTAAACTCTGTACACAATCACTGGGAGATAGCGTTCTGCTCAGTTGATGCCTGAAGACAGAGGCAGGTACAAGAATGCTAAGCACACATCACTGTGATTTCCATGCTCCATAGCAAAGCTATGCTTACCCAGCGATGAAGAAAACATCAAGAACACAAACGGATTAAAGCCCTGAAAACATAATGTGACACTGCCAGCAGCATCAGTGGAGCCTGAGAAAAAGGACAAATATAAAAAGAGAAACTGAAGAGACTGCTGGTGTTGATGTAAAGCTCGATATTTGGAGTAAACTGAGATCATTCCTCCCTTCAGTGTCAAGTATTTTACTTCAAGATGGACACCAGAGTGAACGAGACCCGTTTATTACAAAAACCTAATGTTCAGAAACTAAGACATCTCTTTGGCATTAGTGTTTAGAAACATAAATCAAGTGTTAAACCAATTGTAGAGGTTCACGTAACGACTGACGAATAAGGATAATTAGTGTAAATATGAAACATCTCGGCACTTAAGAATTCAGTTTCAAGGCTTTTTCACTTATGCTAAAATACCTGATGATGGCAAAAACTGTAATATAAGAGAAGTTAAGGCCAGGCTAGATATAACTTAAACCTACAATAAGCCACCCATCACAGATTTATCCAAAAATATATGGCAGTACCACAGAAACAGAAGCATACCACCAGATGGCAATGGAGGATAGTTTTAAATTCTACAAATGGCAGAGACTATAGCCTGGAGGCACAACAGCTAAAACAAACAAAAAAAAAAAAAAACACGCCTTGGTGTAGTTCCAGTATTAAAAGCATTTAAAACTAAATGTATTATATGGTGACCATAAAAAAAAAGCATAAAAACAGAGTTATTTGACTTCTTAGATGCTGATGCATGCGCCTCTTTTGCCTTCACTTTGGTGGAAAAGATGTAGTGTAAAAAAGTGCATAGGTGCAAAAAGAGTTTATAAAGAATTATAACAAAAGCACCCAAACATCACAACTTTTCTTATCATGGAACCACCAGTAGTTCTTATGATCCATTCAATCTTGACAGAAGTGTGTTTATAACCCCAGAATAAAAAAAGGTTTCGACTTCCTTGCTATGTTTGCGCTTTAACTGAGATAGTGTAACTTTCAACCATCCTGATGTTCCTTTCCTGCATGACTTGATTTACTGCGGCAGGGGCACAATCACTTCCACGTAGTTGTTGGGAAAGTATCCAGTTCTTCCATGAAGCTTTCCTTCTGACCAGTTCTCGTCGATTTGTTTGACCAAAGTGATGAGGTCACCCTCGTTGAAGCCCAGCTCTCCTTCGTTTTCTGGCTCAAAGTCATACAGAGCTTTACACTGTGGCTCAGCTGCAGACAAAGACAACATGGGGAACGAGGAAGAAAGAAAAAGAATGAGTTAATCCATAAAAGTGAACATTTCTAGCTCTTCCTCTTTGACATTAGTTTATAGTTCTTTGTAAAAATGTCATAGACACATGATGTTACTAGTATGAAGTTTAGAGAAACTGGAACAGAGCACCAACAGTGAGTAAAACAGGAAATGACAAACAATGACAGGTTAGTCATAAATTCTTCTGAAACTCAAAATCCAACATGCCAATTAGACCAGTTTCTTAAAATAAAAACAACATAGTGCTTCCTTTACAAGTTTTGACCCCCAATATTTTCCCCCATTTCATTTATACCAGTTTAATCCAAGAATTAACGAATAAATAATTTTCTTTTTAGGTTCAGAAGTTTCAGTGGTCCCTAAGAGTCAGATGCATAAAATTCAGCCAAGGTCATGAGACTGCACAAATTTAAAATAGCTTAAATTAAATGTTTCAGTCATTGTTCAATAAAACAAACAAAAAAATTGGTTTATTGATTCTATGCATCTGAAGCTTTGGCCAGACAAAAATAATCAACTTGTTCCCTCATTATGTTCTGACCTGTTAAAATGGACACAATAAACACACAGTTCAGTGTTAGTAAATTAGACCCAAACATATGGATCAACTTTACTGTCGCACACGTGCAACAGGCTAAAGAAAAGCGGTGACACTTTTTTGTTAGGTTGCAGAAATCTTCATCTGTCCACTCACATGGTCTGCTCCTGACAGAGGACCTTTGGAAGGATGGAACTGGGTATTGTGTTGGTGCTGGTTAATGTTAGAGGGAAAAATATGTCAGAGGAATGGAACGGATGTGCACCGTGTCTTTCTGGGACTAAGCCGTCGCACGCAAAAGAGATCGAGTAAATTATAAGTCATTTTACCGGGAGAGTGAACTTGAGGGCTTGTAGAAGGCGAATTTCCTCCGTTTGAACTTTCTCCGTAGTCAAAGGATTGTTGTCTTGATTTAGGCTTAAACTCGCGCTTTGGACGGGACTGTGCCTGATTCACACTGCAAATTCAGAAGAAAATATTACGTTTGATATCAATAGAATACAAATACAGTTGGGTTTAATGGGCTTTTGCTAAATCAAATGTACATTTTCTCCTGTTTATCCATCATTTATGTTGTTAAATCAGGATTTGTAGAAACCGGTTGTAGAAATGTCTGCTGTCATTTGAAAAGAGAAACAGATGGCCTTTGCTTTGGAAGTCCATCCATTTCTGAAGTCATGACTCAGTAAAGAAAATCAACAATAAATGTTGCCAACTTTATCATCTGAAAACTGAGTTTTTCCTCTACTGGTTCACAACTTATTGCACAAAGAGAAACATGAGCTATGGGTCGTGCCCATAAAAATCATCAGACGTAAAGTGAGATGTAACAGCCTGACATTTCTAGTTTGGGAATCGACAATAAAGCTTACATCAGTGGGTCACAACAAGATTTGTTGATTTTCTTTAATAATTAGGTCATATTAGGACGACAGATGAGTGGGTAGCTAAACTGGCTGAGCAGGTGCTACATGTACAGAGGCTGAAGATCCTCATTAGATCTGACACAGGTTTGAATCCAAAACTTATTCCTGCATGTCATCGTCTTCTTTCTCTGCCCACTTTCCTGTGGTGCAACTTGAAAATAAATGCCACCAGTGCCAGGAAAAATATGATCTCTGAACAAACACTGCCATTAAGCCTTTCAAAAGGAGTTCTTTGTGGCGCATTAAAGACTACAAGCCAAGTGCTACTGGCTCCATTATATACAGAATTTAGACTGCTAACAGTCTGAAATGGCTTTAAACTAAATGTGCATTTATTTTTCAGTAAGCTAATTTAACTTTATGTAGATCATCATTTTAAAATGAAGATTTATTTATTTTTGATAATGACAAACTGTAGCCTGCACTCATAAAAACAGACAAGAAAAAGTAAAATGGACTGTATTTTATTAAAGTAAATTAAGTAAGTAAGTCATTTCTGCTAAACATTAACTCATGCTTGGTATGCATTAGTTTTACTCAGACAGGTGCAGGAAAAGACTGCAGCCTCAAATAAATTCATGAAATCAAAAAACCTATTTTCTAAAGTTAATCCAGGTGCTGACCTTTCTCTCAGTTTCTGATCAACTTCCTCCAGGATCTGTGTGGCCTGCCTGTGGTACTGCAGCAGAGAATCCACAAAGGAAGCCAGCTGACTCATCTGCTCCACTTGCTGCACACAAAGAAAAAAAACCAGAAACAAAACACTGAGAACTACAGAGAAATCTTCATTTTGGTTTCTACTTTTGAATCATTTCATTTTGTCAACATGTCAGAAATGTCAAAATGCTTAGTTTGAACAACTTTGGAACCGACATGAGCACAATAAATACCAGAGCAAACGAGTCTGACAAGCTTGGCTTCCAACAGGCCACCGTGGGGGGAAAAACTGGGCAGGTCAGCTGACAAATTACTCAACGTTGTGTTTGCTCACAGAAAGAGTTTCCAGCAATATGCAGTTACAAGGAATTTGGGCAAAAACTACCAAGAATTTTTTTTTCTCCCAAAATTAATCAAACACAAACATTAACATTCATTCTGTAGTTGTCACTAAAAGGTTTCTTAGGCTCTGTTCACACAATTTATGAGAGAAACTGGAGAATTTCTGCCTCGGTCCAGCCATTTGTGCACAAAACTGTCCTCATTCTCCCTGAAACCAAAATATTTCTGAATCCACACCTCAGAGTGGAAGTTTTTGGGGACCCACCCACACTAGACTGATGCAGTCAAAAGTTTTTCTGCACCATCAACAGTTACAGTAAATGGCAGAGCGCAGTGTGTTTTTTTTGGTGCTACTCACCATTTTCAGCATGTAGGAGCAAGCCAACAACATCCTAGATCCAAAGAAACATTCATGTATTCCCCAGTTTGGATGTAACAATGATTATGCTGATGCTGCATGTGCAATGCATGCAGCTGAGCCAGCATCAGGGTTGCCAGATTAACATTTTTTTTTTTTACTCCCTCCTTTTCACAGGTTCACTTAACACAACACACACCTCATCTTACAACCTTCTCCCTCCAAAAAATGTGCACTCAGCACATAGTTTAGTAAAATAATCCATGATAATTTGTGTCAAAATATAATCATTTTAAAGCAACTGTACAATACTTCACAATTTCTTATTTGGCAACCCTGTCTGGCATGGAAACTACAGTGGGTCCATGTAAACTGGCTCTTTTATTGTTTCCTCCCAAATAAACACTGAAAAACACTAACGTTTCCAGAGGTTGCTTTTGTGTAAACGGCCTAAAATTAAGGACACAAAAACTATGCACAGCATCACGTACTGTATTTAATTAGGCAAGTTAATCCATATGCTGCAGTTTGTGTTTTTATTAAATGAAAAAACAATATTCAGTGGTACTGAAAATATGTATTCTCTGTCCATACTGAAAACCAATGTTACGGTAATAACACAAACATCTGACAAAGCTTTTGAAACCACTTTTGCAACAACTCTAAAATCTTAGGACCTCCTGATATTCATTTTTAAATGTATTCTACTTAGAGAGGTCCTAATCAAAGTTTTGTCTCTGATTCCAATGCAAGAAGCAGTCTACTCATTTGTAATATAAATTGAAAGGTTACTGCATGAGTACAATATGTAAAAATAAAACAGTTATGACTTTTTATGGACTCACATCAGTTTCCAGCAGGTTGTGCATGGACATCTCAGCCAGCTCTTTAGACTCATGGAACTTCTCCAGAGCTTGCCTGATCTCCTCGTCTGGGATTTTCCCCTGACGTTTCTTTTTATAGTCGTAGTCAAGACGACGACCTTCCAACTTCTTTAGTTGGTGCTGGGAATTAAAAACACATGAGAAGGTCAATGAGAGTTCACAGACGTTTACAAAAAAAACGTACAAAATAGTGTTCTGACTCATTCTTGAATTTTACAGTAAATGTTATTTGTCAAAAGTGTGACTCAGACATACACAGTTATAAAACGATTTTCAAGTGTTTGTGGTTTTCTACACTGCTGCAGCTGACATACTGACTGTGGAGACCACAGCTCAGTGCTAAGCCTGTATATACAGGCCGCGTCTTTAATTCTACCTGAATGTCTTTGATGTCCTTGTCAGCAATTGCTTGGAGAGGGTCAATAAAATTCTGCTTCACATCGATATCCAGAGCATCCTTGACCTCAGCCATCCTCTTCATTGCTTCTCCAACATCTACAAGAGCTCCACCTAAAAGCACACAAACATGGAAGAGTGGGTCATTGTGGCATATGTTAATATTAACCAGTAGATCTTTTACACAAGCAGTGAGATTTTATTGGAAATCTTTCAAAGAAAAGTTTTCTGCAACCTTCTTGCTGTTGGACAACACTGGATGCTAAGTGGGGGTGTAACAAGATCTCCAAAGACATCACAAGATTGTTTTCAAGTTAAAAATTGTCTCGTAGACCAAAATAAGCTTCGTCTCTCTCTAAAGATGTTCCTACAACTTTAAATCGTATGTGGCAGCTGTTGAAATCAGCATGTCAGGCACTAGAACCAGGGCGGCTATCTCATTCAAGCTGTGTGTAGGTGCAGCTTCCACTGCCAGTACGTAGCTGTAGCCTCTGCAGCTACAGTACATACTAAGAGGAAACATCTCAAGTGGGCACTTAACTTAAAACAAAACAAACTTAATACAGAGCGCACATGCTGATTTATCACCTTTGAAGCTGAGGTACTAGTCAAGTCAAATTTACTTATAAAGCACATTTAAAACAGTAGCTGTTACTAAAGTGCTTAACAACAAGATCAAGGCAGTAAATAAAAAGATGTAATTAAAAGCATCAAAATTTCTAAAGTATGAATCTCAACATATTAGAAGTGAGAGTAAAGTCTACATTACTATAGTAAAGTAAGTCTATCAAACTTTGAGGTGGAGGTGAAAAAACAGTGCTCCACTCTCCGCGCAAGATGTTTAATATCTGTACTCAGTGCGAGCAACCTTTCTCCATGATGAAAATAATAATTAAACACACACAAAGGAGTTTCACTAATGTCAGTGAGGACTGAGGTTTTCCATAACTTGTGGCAGCACGACGGCTTAGTGGTTAGCACTGTTGCCTCACAGCAGGAAGGTCCTGGGCTCAATCCTGTTTGGACCCGGGCTCTTTCTGTGTGGAGTTTGCATGTTCTTCTCGTGTTTGTGTGGGATTTCTCTGGGTACTCCAGTTTCCTCAAACAGTCCTAAACATGCATGTTAGGCTGCCTCCAGGCCTCCCATGCAAAAGAGACCAGTGACCTCAACAGGATTTGACAGGTTAAATAAAGGTAAACTAAACAAATAAAACAAACTCAGACTCAAACTCTTGTAGACAAAGCTAGTGTCTGCCTGAATTGATGTTTTCTTTTTTGCATCTTCCTTCACAATGTTAAGGTGAAAGTTTACAAGTTGCTTCAATTTTTGTGGAGGTTTTTATTTGTAGCTGTTTTGATGCCATTGGTAAAATGTTTTCAATAAAAAACAGAAAAAGATGAAAGGCTCAGATTACAGTGACTGATACACTGAAAAAGACGAGTGAAAATGAGAAGGAATGCCACACACTGGCTCAGCTGTAAAGAACACATCAAAATCAACATCAATATGTGAAAAACATCCATCTATCCATCCATCCATCATCTTTACCTGCTTCTTCCTTTTCAGGTTGCAGGGGTCACTGGTGTCACCGCAGGGCCACATAGACAGATGAGAAACAACCATTCACTCTCTCACTCAAACCTAAGGTCAATTTTAGAGTTACCAATCAGCCTAACATGCATGTTTTTGTCAGCGGGAGGAAATCGGAGCACCCGGAGAAAACCCACCATGCACGGAGAGAACATGTAAACTCCACCCAGGTAATTACGGTACAAATGTACCATAAAGCCCCATTTCAGATCATTTATTTTCTTTGCAAAGGCATTACTTTCAGTCATTCTTCACACACCATTTTCTACATATCTTTAATCTCATTCTTTAACTGACTGTCATTCTTACCAAAGCCAGTCTCGTCGCCCATTTCTCGTCCATATTTAGTCATGGACTCTCCAAGCAGGCCCTCAGGTTGTGGATAGCCAGGATTGCTCACCTGTCCACGCATTTTGGACACTGTGTTGAGCATGTTAAGTCTAGCTCTTGTTGCAGGGTTGGGCTGGAGGTACTCTGATGTTTTGTTCATGACCTCCAGTAATGCTTTGCTGGTGATGTCTGCTTTCTGGTGACACATTGTAAGAAGCAAAGATTGACAGCTATTAGAGTATGTGAAGAAAAAAAAACATATGGCAAAAGACAATTTTTTTGTTAATTAAAAGATTTAAAATACCCTTTCAAGTATCTTAAAGTCATTGTCCAGTTTGGTTCCCTCTGCACCTCCAACCTTCTCACTCATCAGCTGTAAACAGAACATAAATGTTGCAACGCCACAGATTTATTTTAACATCAGTTCCAAAAATTGTACACACATTCAGAAAAAAAACCCTAAAAAACCCTCAATACAAGACATTTAGCAATGATAGATACAGTAGATACTTTATTGATCCCGAAGGAAATTACATGGTGATCTGTAGCTCTCATACACACAAACAACAAGATAAAAACACACCAGAATTAAAAAAAATTAATAATAATAAATAATAAAAACCTAGTATTAAAAAAGATAGATGATAATTAAACAAGCAACCCAAGAGGAGATAAAGCAGCAACTATGTTAGGGGACAAAAACCAGCTAGCTTCTCTGGTTCCTGCCAGGATTGGCTGAATTATACAGCCTGATGGCACGAGGGACAAACGAGTTCTTTAGTCTCTCAGTAGAACACCTCAGTGAACGGAGTCTAGAGCTCAATGAACTTTGCTGGTTAGAGAGGACAGAGTACAAGGGGTGACCCTGATTGGACATGATCGCCCTGATCTTGGAGTGCGTCCTCTGCTCCACCACCTTCTCCACAGAGTCAAGGCCCAGACCCACCACAGATCTCGCCTTCTTAATGAGCCTATTCAGCCTTCGGATGTCCATCTTCCTAGTGCTGCCTCCCCAACACACAACCCCCAAAAATTATACTGGACACAATGGATTGGTAGAACATATGCAATAACTTAGAACAGACCCTGAAAGAGGCCAGCCTTCTGAGAAAATACATTCTGCTCAGCCCCTTCTTGTACACAGCATCCATATTAGCAGTCCAGTTCAGCTTGTTGTCCAGCTGTAGACCCAGATATTTATAGGTTAAGACCACCCCAATTTCCAATCCTTCAATAACAATTGGCTGCAAAGAGGGTGGAGCCCTGCAGAAATCCACCACCACCTCTTTGGTTTTAGTGGTATTCAGCAAAAGTTGGTTCTGATGGGACCACCCAACAAAGTCCTTCACCAGGCCCCTGTACTCCCCCCCCCTAATACATGCCACAATAGCAGTGTCATCAGAGAACTTCTGCATGTGGCATGTATCAGAGTTGTACTGAAAGTCAGTGGTGTAGAGAGTGAAGAGGAGGGGCGAGAGCACTGTACCCTGAGGTGCTCCAGTACTGCTGATCAATTTTGAGGACCTACAACCCCAAACTCGGACAAACTGGGGCCTGTTGGTCAGATAGTCCGATATCCAGCGCACCAGGTGGGCGTCCACAGACATGGTGTTCAGTTTCTCCTGGAGAAGGCTAAAACATGAAGTATAAAACAAGACCATAAATAATATTTTTAAGTCTTAGCTTTATAAAATAAAAAAACAAATGGCCCTTATAAAATTCACTTGTTGTAAATTATTGCAGAAACAAAACAAAAAACGACACGTTGCATTTTTGGTTCTATTAAGCAAAAGGTCAATGATCCATGATTTGTCCACAGAAGATGCCAGGGATGAAATCAAATGGTGACAAAATTTGGCCAAGGTAAACATATACCACACACAGCTAAGAGTCCAACAAGAATATTAAATTTACAACCTTCTCATTCGTGAAATGACAATTATCACAAAAAAAGCTGCATCACAATCTCATTGTGAGTGTACAATTAACTTGATCAATGACTAGTTCAGAGATAGCCACAGAAAACCTGAACAATTAGATTATGCTTAAATATTTATAATACACAACAGTACTATTGTCATTCATATTAAAAAAAGTATTTGCACTCAATACTTATATGCCTTCTGTTAAGCTCTAAATTACAGAAAAGCATGATAAAAGTAGGATTCATAAATATGAGTATCAATAAAATCTAATAAAAATCGTTACAATACACACATCTTTATGTTGTTAATGTGGTTGAAAAAGACTTGAAGACAAAACTGGTTCATTCTTTACAAGAGGTACAAAAAAGTGTTTTGTTTGGTGAAGTATTTTTTTTATACAGATTTGTATCATATTGTATAATTTGCATGTATACTACCAGTAGATGCAAATGCATCTAGGATAATTAAATTTTTCCAAACTGACTTGTTAAGGTCAATATTAAATGTTTTAGTGTGTTTTTAATATGAGGGTCAAAACATATGGTCCTAATTCCTCATAAAATCAATAACAGATTGATTTTTTAATAAGAAATCTGTGGAATGGATCTACAATGCAGGATTATGGCTAGCGCCAGACCAATGAGACTAAACACTGTTTTCAAACTTAAGTGATTTACCCCTTTTTGGTTTTTGATTTATACCGTCCCTGGAACTTCCATCTACAGTAATTTGACATGCCAGCTTTTTCGTCAGGGGAACATCATCTTGAATTCTGGATGTGGGACTCAGTTATGCATTAAACACTCCTCTGAACTTAAGATCTGCTTTCCCTTTTCCATCTGGACAAAACATTGGTTTCCTTCACTACAACTACTTCCATGGATTATTTTACTAAACAAAAATGCTACTTTTCCACCCTCGATCGTTTAGCTGGCAAAGCCAGTCATCATCATCACACTGAAACATAAATCCATAAGATCAGACAAATCAATCAGTGTTAAGTTATTTTTAATTATTTTAGAACTTCTATGTTCAGTTGTTGAAATGTTTTTGACCAAGAAGTACATTTCTGGTCCAGTGCTGCTGCTGTGTAAAGGGTTAGCCCTTTACTGTCCTGCTGCACTTCTCTTCTCTACAACTTAAATTTAAATACCGTAATATTATAAGTAAACAATCTATGGATTTCCATCTTCGGACACATCCAGTGCTTATATAAAGCACTGGATGTGTCCATGTTATGCTGCATGGAACTGTTCACCAACCATGATCTTCAGGGCCAACTGTCCTACATGTTTTAGACATTTCCCTGCTCCAACAATTAAAGTGACTCAATAGTGCCTCAACATGTCATCAAGTTCTGCAGAACCTTGTTAATGACCCATTAATTTAAACCAGTTGGGTTTTAACCAGGGAAACATCACGCAGAGCAGTGGCCCACGAGGAGCAGGATGTGAAAAGCTGCTGGAGAGAAACATTTAATGTTGTTTTTCTTTTTGTCTGCGTTCTTCTGCAGGTGTCGCCACAGACGTGAATTCACATAAAAGATTTGGCAACTGTTTTACACTGGCAGCCATTCCTGATGCAGCCTGGGCTTGAACCAGCAGCCTCAGGATAACAGAACTGTGGCACAGAGAACTGAGCTACCACAACCATTACTGTTATATGGAAAAGTGTGTTAAGAACTTTTCTGAACAACCACTCATTTCTGGTTCCAAACAAATAATAGAAGAATCTAAGTACCAAAGGAGAATCCAAAAAAGTTCAATCTGGTCCTCTGGACATTCAAAAAAAAAGCATGCGTCAGGATACCCAAGGAGAAGTAATCTGCACATAACTGAAAGGAGGACGCATGACATCTATGTGAAAACCTGTTTCGTTTTCGTCATGATTTGTAAATAATCAAGGTCAGTATGTCTAAACTACCAGTATGTATAGACTCAGTATTACAAACAGCAACAAATCCTTCACAGTGGGGGGACTAATTTGTCTTTATCTGTCATTACACCAGGTGTCCAAATTTTCCTTCCAAACCACACTATAATATCTAATGAAAAAGACACTACAATGATTTGACTTGAGTTCAGATATCTAAAATGGGTGAAAAGTTGACCACATTTATTATACTGAATTTAAAGTTTACAATACAGTACGTTATTCCAAATAACTTAAGTTCACTTTCCCAGTTTGGACATTATGGATTTGTGAAATCCAACTTTCTGTAATTTAATTTGTTAAAAGAACTTCCTTGGAATGTCACATTTTATAACAACTTAATTCTGTTCAAGAAAATAAACCAGTTTATTGGTACTTTTAACCACAGATCATTTGGGGATCAAAATAAGATTAAGGATCAAGATATATGCATTTACAACAATATAGCTCAGAGGTACACAATGATAAAAACCTAATCAAGAAAGTTGAGAGTTTTGTTTTTAGACATTTCAAAAGAACACATTTTAGAGTCGTATTTAACAAACCACAGGGGTTGACACAAGCGGTTTCTGGTTATCAGAGACAACGCTTTTTCATCTCCAACAACCAGATCTTGCCACAAAGTTGTTCGGTGGACAATCAAGTGAAATAGACATGGATTAAAGTTCCCAGTCGCCCAGACAGGTTTCTGTCAATTTGAAGGACAGATTTCCGTCATGTGTAAAAATGAAAGGGGGTAGGGTGGGATGGGGGGGCATGTGTTTCGCAGCAGTCTTTTTAAAGCCATCCAATCTAAGGACGATACAGGAATTAAACTGACACTGCTTTCAACAAATAAAGAGAACCAGAGCCACAATTTGACCCAGTCAGACCAGGGAAGGTTGTGTTGTCCGATACACGGTGGGTGTGAACGCTGACCAGTGTTCCCAACTTGGAGGCAGGTGAGAGCACCAATCAATGTTTCCTGTATTATTTTCCAAGGAGGACACCCCACTACCCTAACCGAAGGTGATGACGTAATAAATTATTAAACATCTACGTAACCTATGTGTTCACACATGACCAATTCACAGCAGCCAGGGGAAATACCAGAATTGATACACTATTGCTCCCATCCTCTCCTCCCACACTGTTCCCCGACCTCCCTGGGACTTTTGTATCTAAAATCTACCGGTAACTTTGTATTAAACGTTAATGTGTCGTGAGTGTTGTCATCAGCAAAAAGACGTGCAACCTGAGCGTGACCAAACTTTGGGTTTGAGTGAACGAGTGGGAGAGTGAGAGCACCGCAGGAGCGAGCGCAGCCTTTTTCAGTTTCTCTCACAGAGAGAGACAGGCTACGTATGCTGCTTTAGTTCTTTTAAATAAATATTAACGTTAAAAGACAAACACAGTAGTCCCTCATTTATCGCAGGGTTTAGGGGCCATGCCCCCCCGCAATACCTGAAACACCACTAAGTAGGGATAGTAAAACAAAGTACTTACTACTACAAAGTAGTAGTAAAGAGTAGTTAATTTTGGTATTTAATTAATTATATATATATAAATATAAATAAAGGCTTTATAAATCCTGTCCACACTTTTGCAATATTCTAAACAATGTTTCTAAGCTTTAAATGTAAAAAAGCACAGAATGTCATGATTTCAGCTCTCTACCAGCCTACTTCTTTGCAGCAATCACATTCATCACCTGCTTCCAATCGCCCTCCGTTTGTGTAAATAAACAATTTAAATACTGTAATATTTTAAATAAACAATCCATAGATTGTTTACTTATAATATTACGGTATTTAAATTTAAGTTGTAGAGAAGAGAAGCGCAGCAGGACAGTAAAGGGCTAACCCTTTACACAGCAGCAGCACTGGACCAGAAATGTACTTCTTGGTCAAATACATTTCAACAACTGAACATAGAAGTTCTAAAATAATTAAAAATAACTTAACACTTTTATATTTTGTGATTATGATGATTTTACGATATGACATACTTTGAATTTTAAGTTGGAAGACGAAGGTCGATCGGTGCATCTGGACAGCGAAGGGTTAACTCGTCACAAAACCGATGCAGCAAGAGAAATGTGTGCAGCAGAGAAGGAGATCAGCTGATCAGCTGCAGGAGGGAGTTTTACTCTGCACTTGTGGGCTGCACACATGGTGCAAAATCATTTAAAATAAATTATTTTAAATGAACAATTCATGGCTCATCCATCAATTAGCCACTGTGTGTCATGTCCAATCTCACTTTGAAAAACCGCGATATAGCGAATCCGCGAAAAACAAACCGCAAAGTAGCGAGGGACTACTGTATTTAAAATTTAAGTTTAGTCTGTACAA